GAATACATGTCATTACACTGATTTGCTGGTAGTCTCGAAACCTTACTCACTTACGAATATAAATGTGGTGGGCATTTTCATGTCTGCGCTGATTGGTTAAGCCGTTTCCCCCTACGCCTCCCCGCAGGAGCCCAGCCGGACGGGTCTCTGGGGTGGCTCGAGGCTGGAACTCGCCCTGCCCGGGCTCGAACCCGTCGTCGGGTGCGGACCGTGCACCGGCGTGTGATACTGGACACAGTCGCGAGCTGTCCGACAGAGGCAGAAGCATTTCCCCTCTCCCGCTCCACCTCGGCCAGACGATCCAGTGTCAGAGACAAAGAGACCGGCCAACCGACTGACACGGCAACCTATCGTGTCGTCAGGAGGACCGATTGATTGAGTGGATGCAGCATTCGTTGGCTGATGGCCGACCGGTTGCAGCCCGTCCCATGGAGACACCACTTTGTCGGCGTGTATGCGGCCAGTTTGGTGGGCGAAATGGCCGACGCGAAAATGCGCTACCGCCGTCGGAGTCGCATGTGGACCGGTCTCGCTCTCTTCACTGCGCAACAACTGGGTGCAATTGGGCGGTAGTCAAGAGAGACACACAGCTCGGCTGGGTTTCACGTATGCATAATTGAATGTATCCCCACAATGGACGCATCTCATGTGCCCACAATCCCGGACGCCTCAAAGCGACACAAGCCTGGCAAAAGTTTCCACGAACCTGGTCTCCATTGTAGCTAGGCGGCTGTCATCATGACGACATCATGCAGACAACGCGCACAAGTTGGCGGCAAACATGTGCACACACGCGGGCACACGTGCGCGTGCATGTGGGCAATGGGACAAGTGGAGAGACGGAGAGACGGAGAGACGAGCGTGGCGAGGGGAAGAGGCGACCTGGCCACCTGCGGCGGGATTCGGACTCGGCACATGCGCGTCCGTCCGCGAGGCGGGATTGGCTGCGAAGGCTGCACTTCACCGCAGCCGTCTCCGACTGTTCCCTCTTCTCGGCCCGACTGTGTCTGAGGCAATGGGAGGCAAGTTGCCGTCTCGGTTTGGGAGTGCTCCGTCCAGCAGCCAAGAGCAGTTCGTGCTCCGCCGTCTCGCGGCGACGTGTCAGAAGACGAACTGATTCACGCGCGCCTGCAGCAGACCCTTGTCCACGATGGGGTTGGGGTTGGGGTTCGAGAACACAAATTACTCTCTTTATACGAAGAAGCTCTTGTCTCATAATTGTTCAGCTTACTTCCATTTCGAGTGGAAGTGTCGGGTGAAGAGATTCGAAGCTCGGTTCCACCAGAAGACGACGGCCGATTCCTCTTGACTTACTGGAACATTCAGGCTGGCGCTGTTTCCGTGGCAATCTCCTTCGATTCATCCGTCATGTGAACGAAATCGTCAGAGCGAGGTAACATCGTCTCAACAAAACTCACCGGCAAATCCCTGAAAAGTGGTACATACAAATACCGAGACAGACACACTCACATGCATCGAAGTTGACCTATGACCTTAACTAACCAAATCACCTTATACTCGAT